TAAAGAAGGCGGACGTGGCTTGATTGACATTATAAACCTTCTCTACAAGCAAATACAATCAATCACTGCGAGAGTTTTTCTACAAAAAACAAGAAACATCACAGTTACATAAAGCAGTAACTCTAGCAGATTCAAATAACACACCGTTAAACTTACACTCACATCATACAGACTTGACACAACATGTAAAAAGCATAGACATCATTAAGCAATCGTGGGCTCGAAAGGCATCCTTATGACCTGGCCCAGGATTTTGTTGTCAAAACTGCGTCAAACAGCTGGTTAGATCGGGGATGCCTCTTTGGGGAGACGGAAGGATTCATGATTGCCATACAGGATCAGGTCATAAATACTAAAAACTACAGAAAACACATACTCAAAGATACAACACTCACANGTTGACAAAACTGCGTCAAACAGCTGGTTAGATCGGGGATGCCTCTTTGGGGAGACGGAAGGATTCATGATTGCCATACAGGATCAGGTCATAAATACTAAAAACTACAGAAAACACATACTCAAAGATACAACACTCACAAATGACACATGCAAAAAATGTCACATCATGCCAAAATCTATACAACACATCACTTCTGGTTACAAGCTCTTGGCACAGACAGATTATTTACATAGACATAATCAAGTAGCAAATAGAGCTTGCAAACAAACACAAATTATTAGACATGCACGAACCATACTACAAATACATTCCACAGACAGTATTGGAAAACAACAGGCACAAATGGTACTACGACAAAGCCATAATCACAGATAAAACAATTTACCACAACAGACCGACATCACACTCATTGACAAACACAATAAAATCACATACATTATAGACATAGCCATTCTAAACATTCACAATGTACAAAACACATGCACTGAAAAAATCAGTAAGTACACAGAACTCGCCCAGGAAATAAGGCATCTGTGGAGGATGGAAAGGGTGCTTATTGGACCTGTCTTTCTCTCCTGTACAAATGTGATTCACACACACCATACAAAAGCCTGGGAAGATTACAATTGAATAGAAATACATACATCACACTACAGAAGGCCACTATATTGAATATATGCCATATTGTTAGGAAATTCCTGAATACGGATACTGACACACTTATTTAATTTTTGTTTTGTTTTGGTTGCTATGCTTTGACTCCGGTCCGGCATAGTGCACGGCCACCGGTGTGAACCGAGTAACCCACTAAACCCACATAATAATAATAAAGAAATGTACAAAGAAGAAGCTAATCATTTACAAAAATCACAAATATAATGCTCCTATAGTTTTAGGTATCTATTTTTACTTTTTTCATTCATCTACAACATACTTTTACAAAAATTATTGTATGGCTTGAATTTGTTAATAATACGGAACCCCAGAGGAGACGGGTTCCATATTAAAAGCACCAATGGGGTCTGGTATTTCACGCATAGCTATTTTAAATTAACTTGTATGTCAAGACCAAATTTTAAAAAACGTAAACATCAAACAGATTAAATTAATCTGTACCCCTAAGTCTCTGGAACGGAATACATGCACCAGTGAACCTACAACTACACGATTTATATTTTAGAAATAATTAAATTCACTTACCATTCAAAACTTCGAATTTTGAAAAACACAAACATACTAATTCCCTACTGACAACCGTTTAACTGAAGTGAAACGGGTGTTCCTCTTGCTATGGATGTCTGCCTAGTGCAGTTCAGCTACAATCCGTTACAGTTCGCCTTCATTATCAGTTTGAAATGGAGGGGTTCCATAATACCTGCAGGGTTCCATAATACCACTTTTTCCTCTACCTGTTTGCAGTACAATGGAATCCACTATTGATTTCACAATTTGTTTAGAATTTTTATTGAACTGCTTCTTGGAATCACAACAATAATTGTTACATCTGATCATTTTTCTATTATAGAAAATTTTTAACATATTCTCAAAAAGAAGCTATTAAATCTCTTAATAAGAGTCAAAGAATTAGTTACAACCAGGGCTGTGGAGTCGCGTAAAAATCTACCGACTCCGACTCCGTTTCATATACATAACAAGTTGGTAAGTAAAAGGGAGTCGGAGTCGGCGGATTTTTTTATTACTCCGACTCCGACTCCGGCTAAAACACCAAAACTCCACGACTCCGACTCCGACTCCGACTCCTCAGCCCTGGTTATAACACTTCAAGATATTTGGTTGAAATTGAGAATTGCTTTTTTTGTTGTTCATGATCCAATTGATACTAATAGTGAATACAGTTACGATTTTGTGATATAAATAGTAAAGGATTATAATATTATTGTTAATTGTCTACTTGGACATTATTTATTAATAGAACTTAATACTGGTGTTTAAAGATTGACACAGCAATGAGAGTTAGTTCAGGTGATATAATAAAGAAATTTTGCTCTTTCCTGAACTAACTCTCATTGCTGTGCCAATCTTTAAACACCAGTATTAAGTCCTATTAAAATAAGTAAAGTCCAAGTAGACAATTAACAATAACATTAGAATTAAGGACAGTAAGGCTTTTACAAATATCTTTGTCATCAATATATCCAAGAAAATACATGATTTATCACTGAAGATGATTTGTCCTCACCAATCTATTCTTTGTGTGCTTTTTCCCACTTCAGTCTAGTAGATAATTGTTTTTTTCTAATCAGCTAATTTTCATCTTTCCTTTCAAAATCCATCTCTCATTGCTCAATTTGCTTCTGTTTTATCACTAACATTTAACTCTGCTCTTTATCCACTCACAATTGAATTCTTTTGATATCAAAATAATTGTTTTTATTCTTACAGTAAACTGATTTTTCTTCCATAAGTTTAATAGAGTACGTTGCACTCATCCAAACACTTTTCAACTTCTGTTTGAGAACATTCTTCTTGTATTAGACTAACCTATCTTTTTGCATTTTTTAACAGCTGTGATCTGCAAGCCATTCTGTTATGAAGATACAATTATCATATGAGAGCAAAAAGTTCATACATAGTAATTAATTTACATAGCCCTATCTTAATGAAATGGTGTTCTACCATCAGATCAGTNTTTTAAATAATTGTAATATAGACAAAAATAATATAGATATTTTACACAGAGAAAAAGATACATATAAAAGAAAATTCAAAGAAAGTATAGAAATAATCAAAAATCAAAATAGTATAAATAAAAATCCTAGCATCTCTATAAACGAAAACTGGTTAAAAATTTTATATTAATTATATTCACTAGATTCAAATTATTATTATTGTGATCAATGTGCTAATTAATAATTATTGAACTGTTAAATAAATCAACAATAACAAAACACTGTAATGTTGTAATGGGAATCAATTAATATGTAAATTTATATTAAATGTTAATAATGTTTACCAACTTTAAGACATTGGAATATCATTAGTTCAAATAATAATCTATAATATTAAATATTGAAATGTTAAATACATCAACAATCATACATTGTAAAAAATATAGTATATGTCAGATATGTAAATTTATATTGTAGAAGTTATGTAAATTCGTATTATATTGTCAATGCGTATCAAAGAAAATAAGGATTTTGTAAACAGATTTATGAGTAGAAAGCATAATCAATTGTATACCAATTTGATAATTGTTGTCCAATGTATGTTTTAAATCAAGGATTTTGTAGAACTGTTTTATAAGTAAAAGGTACAATCAATTGTGTACAACTTTAATAACAGCCGTACTCAAGGTATGCCTTAATAGAAGATAGTTTTATAGATTCTGTAAAACTGATGTATAGTTTGTATATATGTCGTATACTCCCCTAATATTATAGTTGGCTAAAAGGAAAAAATATTGTGAACAAGCTGATGTTACTGGAAAATATCGGGAGTAGCTGTTACTTCAATTTTTAAAAAAACTTGTATGCATAGGTATGTTTATATTTTTATGAATTTTACAAAACTTGTGTATTTTTTTATATGTATGTTATATCCTCTTTTAATGTTTTAGTTGGCTGAAGAGGGGCTTAAAAGCCCGAAACGTGTAAATTTTTTCACACGTATCAACTAAATAAAGATGAGACAACCCGCCAAGTGTCTTAATTTATAGCACTTTATTGTGTTAGAAGCATAAAC